CCCTACACCATTTCAGACAAATGGCTGTCCAGTCTCTTCTTAAAAACTTCCAGTGTTGGAGCATTCACCGCTTCTGGAGTCAGGTTGTTCCACTGGTTAATTGTTCTAACTGTCAGGAAGTTTCTCCTTAGTTCTAGGTTGCTTCTCTCCTTGATCAGTTTCCACCCGTTGCTTCTTGTCATATAAGACCCGGTCTTGTTTTCGGGGAAACACGGGTACTTACAACTGGATTTGAAGTTTTGATGGTCAGGGCCCCCACAAGCCCATGACCACATGCCGGGGCCTTGGCAACCAGGCCTGGCCCTTTGCAGCATCTCGCAGTCACACTGCTGTGTTTTACAACCGTTTTGTCAAAAGCCAGCATTGACTTCCGGTTTTCAGCAAAACCAGATCATTTTGAACCGCCGGTTCTCTTAACTGTACCATTTGATGAACAACAACAGCTGCGAAATGGACCATAACACTGAGTCAGTCACGTGGGTGACCCGATTTTTGACTGTCTCCATTACAGTCATAACTTGAGGACGACTTGTATACAGATAGTATATCGACTTAAACCCACAACGGAGCTCCCAAAATTTCCACTGCGAAACAGGACAGTGGTTAAGTGAATTTTGCCGCATTTTACGTCCTTCCAGTCAGTTTGTGCGCTTAAACAAGGATTTCCAAAAAATTAAAATCGGTTTTCGGATAACGGGTGTATTACAACAGCCTGTTAATACAGACGAAAGATGAGTAAACCTTTAGTGGGTAATGCTCACATAAAACACTCAGAAGCAGGTGGGAATTTTTCTCATTTATGTCTTCTGAGGTCTTTTATTTTTTTTAAGCTATATTTAACCCGCATTAGGGTTTATGTTACCAAATTCGTGTGCCTCAAAATAACAAGAAACCGTACCCACACTAAGTTTCAGGAATTTGGCCTCAATTGTGCAATCCTACTGGGAGTAGGATGCCATCAAATCACAGAAGACTTTTTACATATAATTTCTTTATACAGCTAGTCCTTGACTTACAACCACAACGGAGCCCAAAATGTATGTTAAGTGAGGCATTTTGTTAAATGGGTTTTGGTCCATTTTACCATTTTTCTGGCCCCAGTTGTTAAAATCACTGCAGCTGATTAGTTAGTAACCCTGTTGTTAAGTGAATCTGGCTTCCCCATTGACTTTGCCTGCCGGAAGGTCGCAAAAGGGGAAATCACCTGACCCCAGGACACAGCGACCGTCGTAAATACAAACCAGTTGCCAAGTGCCTGAATTTTGATCAGGTGACCACAGGAATGCTGCAAAGGTTGTAATTATGAAAAAAAAATAAGTCACATTTTTCAGCACCTTTGTAACTTTGAACGGTCACTAAGCAGATTGTTGTAAGTTAAAAACTACCTATAGCAGGGGTGACAAACTGCCAGCCCGCGGGCCGGACGTGTCATCTGGAAGACGCGCCCACCCCATTGCCAAAAAAGACAAAACCGTCCCGATACGTTGTGCGACATCACATGATGTCACGAGTTTGACATGTCTGACCTATACTATTCCTCTTCAGGGCAAGCAGCTTGAGGCAAAGTGCACAGAGTCTGAGCAATAGTAATATGTTTTAGCAATATGTTTTAGACTGGAGGCTAAAACATATGAAGAACGGTTGCTGGAATTGCGTATGTCTAGTTTAATGAAGAGAAGGACGAGGGGGGACATGATAGCAGTCTTCCAATATCTCAGGGGCTGCCACAAAGAAGAGGGAGTCAAGCTATTCTCCAAGGCGCCTGAAGGCAGGACAAGAAGCAATGGGTGGAAACTAATCAAGGAGAGAAGCAACCTGGAACTAAGGAGAAACTTCCTGACAGTTAGAACAATTCACCAGTGGAACAACCTGCCTCCAGAAGCGGTGAATGCTCCAACACTGGAAGTTTTTAAGAAGAGACTAGACAGCCATTTGTCTGAAATGGTATAGGGTTTCATGCCTGAGCAAGGGGTTGGACTAGATGACCTCCAAGGTCCCTTCCAATTTTATTAGTAATAGTCGTAGTAGTAGTAGTAAACAAAATAAATAAATAAAATCAGATACGAAGAGAAAAGCTGTAGAAATCTAACTACACCTACCAAGAAAAGAAAAAGCAAAAAAAGGAAACCATCCACCCCGGTTTTTTTCAAACTTGGCAATTTAAAGATACGTGGAATTCCATTCCCTGGGTTGAAATTCACACACACATCTTTAAAGTGAAAAACACTGATTTATCCTTATCATAAAAGCTTTTCAATAAGTATTTTATCAGTCAATTCTAAGCTTAATCAGGTAAAAGAAACAATGAAAATCCCAACAGATTTGCAGCCCAATTGTCCAAATGACCGTAGTGAATCGTAATTAAACCCCAACTCCAAAGTCCTCTTCTGGGTCAAATTCTAGCCAGCAGGGGCATAACGCCGAAAGGAGAAAGGCAGTGGAGGAACTCTCCATTAAAAACAGAGACTTCCAAAACTTTTCAAGGAGTGGATTGTGGGAGATGGGAACACATATATTTCATTCATTTAATGAATTTACATGATTTCACGGGGGGGGGGGGATTCTCCATCAAAAATGCAGATTTCCAAAACTCCTTCAAGCAAGGGATTGGGGAAAACAGGAATACATCTATTTATTTAATAAATATATATAGGTAGTCCTATATATATATATATTGAACCCAAAATTTATATTGCTAAGCAAGACATTTGTTAAGTAAGTTTTGCCCCATTTTACAACTTTTCTTGCCACGTTTGTTAAGTGAATCATTGCAGTTGGTAAGTTAGTAACACGGTTGCTAAATGAATCTGGCTTCCCCCATTGACTTTGCTTGCAGGTCGCAAAAGGGGATCACATGACCCAGGGATACTGCAACCGTCATAAGTGTGAGTCAGTTTGCTAAGCACCTGAATTTTTATCATGTGACCACGGGGATACTGCAACGGTTGCAAGTGTGAAAAACAGTCATAAGTCACTTTTTTCAGTGCCGTTGTAACTTTGAACAGTCACTAAAGGAACAGTTGTAAGTCAAGGACTACCTATATAATGTTCATCTCCAGTTATCACATATTACAGAGCTTTCAAATATTAAAATAGAATAGAACTGGAAGGGACCTTGGAGGTCTTCTAGTCCAGTACATATTACTTTATGTACATATTACTTTATTCTAACAGAGGGATAGAATCAAGATCACATGAAGTATTAATACCACTTTACAATGCCTTGGTAAGGCCACACTTGGAATACCGCATCCAGTTTTGGTCACCACAATGTAAAAAAGATGTTGAGATTCTGGAAAGAGTGCAGAGAAGAGCAACAAAGATGATTAGAGGACTGGAGGCTAAAACATATAAGGAACGGTTGCTGGAATTGGGTATGTCTAGTTTAATGAAGAGAAGGACGAGGGGGAACATGATAGCAGTGTTCCAGTATCTCAGGAGGTGCCACAAAGAAGAGGGAGTCAAGCTATTCTCCAAAGCGCCTGAAGGCAGGACAAGAAGCAACGGATGGAAACTCATCAAGGAGAGAAGCAACCTAGAACTAAAGAGAAATTTCCTGACAGTTAGAACAATTAACCAGTGGAACAATCTGCCTCCAGAAGCAGTGAATGCTCCAACACTGGAAGTTTTTAAGAAGAGACTGGACAGCCATTTGTCCGAAAAGATATAGGTTTTCCTGCCTGAGCAGGGGGTTGAACTTGATGACCTCCAAGGTCCCTTCCAACTTTATGATGATGATGATGTACATACATAGTACATATAACTTTATGTACATATATTAATACTTTATACTTTTAATATATATACTTAATATGCACTTTGTATGCTTAATAAGTATACTTCATGTACATGTCCTTAATATATATTTATGTACTCACTCAACCCGTGAATAGCTATCCTTGCTGTTCAGTTTACTATATAGTTTGGTGCATTAAATAAACCTTAAGTCTGTCTTTAACTGAGTTCTCTGGCATAGTTTGAAAGTGGGAAACAGCAGCCCACCATTGCCAGTTTGGTGGTTGTTAGTTTCATTGAGCACAGCACTACATACAGGAAGTCCTCGACTTACGACTGCAATTGAGCTCAAAATTTCTGTTGCTCAGCGAGACATTTAAGTGGGTTTTGCGCCGTTTTACAACCTTTCTTCCCAGATTTGTTAAGTGAATTGCAATAAAGTTAGTACAACGGTTGCTAAGTGAATCTGGCTTCCCCACTGACGTTGTCAGGTCGCAAAAGGGGAAATCACGTGACCCCGAGACGCTGCAACTGTGATAAACACAAGCCAGTTGCCAAGCATCCGAATTCTGATCACGTGACCCTGGGGACACCACAACGGTCCCGAGTGTGAAAAAAAACAGTCATAAATCATTAATGCCGGGGAAACTTCGAACGGTCACTAAATGAACTGTTGTAAGTTGAGGACTACCTGTATTACTTTATAGGGATCTAAGCTGCCCAATACAGTTGCCCTGCAAGGGATCTCTTGGGACAGAGATCCCTTCCTCCCCCCCAATTCATTATGTAAGTTTTATGGAGCAATGAAGCCACCCAAATTAGCCCCTTCGGTTAATTAGATGGGCGGCACATGCAGGTAGTCCTCAATTTATGACCAAAATTGAGCCAAAACTGGGTTGCATCTCTCAACCTGTCACGCAGCTGGCTAAGGAAGATGGGAACTGGAGTCCTTCCCTGGCGGAAGGCCGCTGGGCGGAACGACTCGCTAGCTTGCGGAGGATGGGAGTTGTAGTCCCAAAAGCGACCAGCTGCTTTATCTTTCCGGGCCAACGCCGGCCACAAGGCCACACAACTCTAAACGCGAGAAAAACCCCTTGAGCGCCTATTCATAAAACCGCGGCAGCGCTCTGTACATGATCAGAGGCTACCTAGTCATGGTTTTTCAGGTCACCGCTAGCCCGCACGGTCTCCCCTCAGGCCAAGCACGCCGCAGTCCCTCTGTCAACCGCCTCACCCCACGACCGGCCGCCCCGAAGAAAGGATACGGTCCCGGCTCCAGTAAGCGGCTCCTTCCGGCTTCAGCCCCGCGGCCACATCCGCCATCTTGAAACAACCGCCACTCCCAGCGTCCCTCCGCCCCACCCCGCCCCAGCCCTCAATTCCCGCTCCTCATTGGCTGCCCGGGCCAAGCTTTGCCCAGATACGGCCCCGGCAACTCGGAGCCTCGCCAGCAGCCAATGGTGGTCACCCGCAGAAGGTAAGGGGAAAAAAAATCAGCGCAGGGCTTTCTGGGAGGTGTAGTTTTAACATTGCTTCTCTCCCAGGAATCGGTGCTGGAGTTGGACTACCGCTCCCGTCAAGCGTCGCGAGTCAACGAACGGGTCGGATGTGAGGCACCGCGGGGGGAGGGGGGCTCGGAGGTAAGGGTGGCGAGACGGGACAAGAAGCTTCCTCCGGGTGGCTTTGCGTCCCGTTTGCGGCTGGGGAGATGGAAGACCGGGGTCTGCACGGCATGAAGCCCTACCTGGAGAAGCTCACCCTCGGGGTGACCCGCCTCCTGGGTGAGTGGCAGCCGGGTCCCGCCCCCTCCGCGTTGCCAAGGAGACGGTCCAGGCGGTTCCGCCAGCATCAAGTGTCAGGGAGTTCCGCGGGCAGCTACAAGCGAGGCTCCGCTTTCCCGGGGAGGCGATGGGCGGCTTCAGCCTCTCGCAGCCTTGGCTCAAACTGCTTTTCCTGATGCTGGGATTTTTACTTTCCAATTTCCTGGGCTTGCCTGCCGCCCGAGGATTTCCTGGTGGTCTCCCATCCACCCTCACCTGTCAGGTTGAGAATCCATAGAGAAGGGAGGAAAAAAGTTTTGTTCTGGCTTCCTGATCTGAAGATTCCAGCTGGGATGTCCTAATGGAGATCTGATTCTTTGTATCTCGTTTTTTAATTTAATTTTTATTTTATTTTTTTTGTTTTACTTTTGTTTTTTGATTTGATTTTATTTTTCTCTTTCATTTTTAGTTTTTAACTTTATCTTTTTACTTTTTTATTTTACTTTTTCTATTTTTTTATTTTATTTCTGTCTTTTTGTTTTATTTTTAATTTATTTGTATGTTTTTTGTTTTTATTTTATTTTTACCTATTTTATTTCATGTTTAGTTTTGGCTTTGACTTTTTATTTTATTTTTAGTTTTGATTGTTTTTAGTTTTGGTTTTACTCTTGTTTTTATTTTTATTTTTATTTTTTATTTTACTTTTATTTCTGTGTTTTATTTTATTTCTATCTTTTTGTTTTATTTTTAATTTATTTTTATCTTTTTATTTTATTTGCATGTTTTTTGTTTTTATTATATTTTTACCTATTTTATTTTTTAGTTTTGACTTTGACTTTTTATTTTATTTTTAGTTTTGACTTTCTTTTTAGTTCTTGTTTTAGTCTTTTGTTTTTATTTTTATCTTTTTGTTTTATTTATAGCTTTGGCTTTAATTTGAGATGTTGCGGGTCTGAGAAAATCTTTCTTCCCCTTCCTTTGCACCAGAGAAAGTTTCCCACCATTTTAAAAGGGGAAGCTCTGCTAAATCGCATCCGCTAGATTCTGTTAAACTGTGGCTTGTTTAACTGTGGCTTGCTGAAGCGGCCCGGTTAGACAATGTAGCCGGCTGTGCTTACCTAGCGGCAGTGACTGCTCTTTTGGGGACACCCCACAGCAAGCCTAAACTGCCTTAAGCCATAGCAGGAGGTAGGAATCTTAAAGATGGAAGGAGCCCTTGAGGTCATCCAGTCCACCCCCTGCTCAAGGCATGGATCCAGGTCCAAGGATTTTAAAGACCTGTGGTTTTCCAAGAGGAGCTCACCGTCCCTCTGGATCACAGGAAGTTTTTATTTTTTAAAAATTCAGTCCACGTTAGCCAACACCAAGTGTTCATACGGTGCATGTAATCCTCGACTTACGACCGTTCCTTTCAGCAACCGAGCTCAAGAGAGCACCACTTGCAGGTAGTCCTCGACTTACGAGAGTTCGCTTGGTGACCGTTTGAAGTTACAAGGGCACTGAAAAAATGTGGCTTATGACCGTTTCTCACAACGACCGTTGCAGCGTCAACCTGCTCACGTGATTAAAGTTCAGGCCTTTGGCAACTGACTCGTATTTATGACGGTTGCAGTGTCCTGGGGGGGTCACGAGATCCGCTTTTGCGACCTTCTGACAAGCAAAATCAATGCGGGAAGCCGGATTAACTTAACAACTGTGTGACTCGCTTAACAACCGCAGTAATTCACTTAACCCAGGCACGTTAAACTGACGGCCTACAGGCCGGATGCGTCACGCCAAAACCGCGCCCCCACCCGATTGCCAGCAATGGGGAAAAAGTCACAATATGTCATGCGACGTCACGAGTTTGACATGCCTGACTTCACCCATGTGGCGAGAAAATTTGTAAAATGGGGCAAAACTCACTTTTAAAAAATTCTCATTTAGCAACTTAAATTTTGGGCTCAATTGGGGGTCGTAAGTTGAGGACTACACGTACCCTTCATTTCAGCCCAGAGCTACAAAAACTCTCCTGTATTGGAGGCATTCGTTTAGTGACTGTTCGAAGTTGCAGCGGCACTGGGGAAAAAAATGATTTAACAACTACTCCTCACACATATGACCGTCACTGTATCAGAGATTAAAATTCAGGCATGTATTTATGACAGTTGCAGTGTCCCGGGATCACATGATCGCCATTTGCGAACCTTCCCAGCTGGCTTCCAACAAGCAAAGTCAATGGAGGAAGCCAGATCCACTTTATGACCACTTTGATTCGCTTAAAAACTATGGCAAAAACGGTCATAAAATCAGGCCATAAAAAACTCACTCAACATCCGCCTTGCTTAGCAAGGAGCATTCTTGGCCACAATTGTGGACATAAGCCAAGGAGTACCTCTAATCAGGATATGGAGTTTCCCCCTGTTTATGAATCCTAATAATTTCTATCAGCCTTCCCTAAGTCCTAGTGGACAATCCCTTAAATATGAGCCAGCTGTGTGCTGCAGCTGCCAAAAAAACCAACACAGTGCTAGGCTGCATTAACAGAGGGATAGAATCAAGATCACATGAAGGGTTAATACCACTTTACAATGCCTTGGTAAGGCCACACTTGGAATACTGCATCCAGTTTGGTCACCATGATGTAAAAAAGATGTTGAGACTCTAGAAAGAGTACAGAGAAGAGCAACAAAGATGATTAGGGGACTGGAGGCTAAAACATATAAGGAATGGTTGCTGGAACTGGGTATGTCTAGTTTAATGAAGAGAAGGACGAGGGGGGACCTGATAGTAGTTTTCTGATATTTGAGGGGCTGCCCAAAAAGAAGAGGGAGTCAAGCTATTCTCCAGAGCGCCTGAAAGCAGGACAAGAAGCAACGGATGGAAGCCAATCAAGGAGAGAAGCAACCTGGAACTAAGGAGAAACTTCCTGACAGCAAGAACAATTAACCAGTGGAACAACCTGCCTCCAGAAGCTGTGAATGCTCCAACACTGGAAGTTTTTAAAAAGAGACTGGATAGCCATTTGTCTGTCTGAGCAGGGGGTTGGACTAAATGGCCTCCAAAGTCCCTTCCACCTTTATTATTATTATGATGATGATGATGGATCATCGCACAGTCAGCCAGATGTTCAGACTGGATTTGGCATTTTTGTCTACCTATCGAGTCCTTACCAAGGACCTAGGATAGGCAGATGTGGATGTTTGATGTTATTACAGGTATCGTCGCAGGATGGAAGCAGTTCCTAGTAAGGCCGCCTTTTGCAATTGACTATTATTATTATTATTATTATTATTATTATTATTATTATTATTATTATTATTATTATTATTATTATTATTATTATTATTATTATTATTATTATGTAGATGCTCTCTATTTGTGTTCGGACTACATCTCCCACCAGTCCCACATGTGGCTCTGAACTGTAAGGTACGGGCACTGCGATGTAGTGATTAAAGCCCTGGATTGAGGCGAGTGGCCCATATTCCAGTCCCCTCTCTGCCATGGGAGTCTCTGGGGATCTTTGAACCCGGAGCTCTTGCTCGGCCTGGCCCACATTGCAGGAGTGGTGGTCGTATCAGTAAAAAAAATCCCCCCCCAACAGTCATCCTGTGTGATGAGTTGGGCCGAAAACAGTAGGGAGAATTGCCTGACCAATGGCAAACAGAATCCCTGGAAAAGGCATAGCCATAGATACTTCAAAACACATCCAAGTTTTTTCTTGCGATGTATTTGCAAGAGTAAAAACATAAATTAAGGGGTTTTATTTTTCAAAAAACGTGAAACCTTTTCCCAGGTTGTTTTTTTCCAGTTCTTATGTTTTCTGCTGTTCTTTGCCAACTGAACGTCTGGGGTTTTTGTGTTGTCCGTGCTTGTAGAAACCTCCCCAGGAGTTACGGAAGTGATCTTTCTGGAAAAAGAACCGGCCGAGCGCCATGCAATCATCTCCTGGGAACAGGTAATGCGGCCTCCATCTGCATTTAGACGGTTCGAGAGTCTGTGTGTCTAGTGGTTAGGGCACCAGGCTAAAAACCAGGAGATGGTGAGTTCTAACCCTGCCTTAGGCATAAAGGCCAGCGGGGTGACTTTGGGCCAATCACCAGGAGTCTGAGAGTTCTAGTCCCACCTTAGCCCTGAAAGACAGCTGGGTGACTTTGGGCCAATCACCAGGAGACTGAGAGTTCTAGTCCCACCTTAGCCCTGAAAGGCAGCTGGGTGACTTTGGGCCAATCACCAGGAGTCTGAGAGTTCTAGTCCCACCTTAGCCCTGAAAGACAGCTGGGTGACTTTGGGCCAATCACCAGGAGACTGAGAGTTCTAGTCCCACCTTAGGCTTGAAAGACGGCCCTGAAAGGCAGCTGGGTGACTTTGGGCCAATCACCAGGAGACTGAGAGTTCTAGTCCCACCTTAGCCCTGAAAGGCAGCTGGGTGACTTTGGGCCAATCACCAGGAGACTGAGAGTTCTAGTCCCACCTTAGCCCTGAAAGACAGCTGGGTGACTTTGGGCCAATCACCAGGAGACTGAGAGTTCTAGTCCCACCTTAGGCATGAAAGCCGTCTGGGTGATTTTGGGCCAATCACCAGGAGAGAGTGAGTTCTAATCCCTTTTTAGTTATGAAAGCCAACTGGGTGATCTTTGGCCAGTCCCTTCACAGTTTGACTCACACCTCACAGGGTTGTTGCTATGGTGGAAATAAGAAGAGGAATGTGTGTTGGATATCTTCACCACTTTGAATTATTTTTAAAAATAATAAAAGGTGGGATCCAGATAAATAAATTGCAGCTAGAGTCGGAGCTTTCCCTCTTTTTGCCACTAGAGGTCAGAGTTTCCCTTAGTTTGTCCTGGACCAGCTACCTGCAGTAAAAGTGAAGAAATCCCTTGGAGAGGAAGAGATTTAAAGGGATGGATGAGGCTTCTGATCAAGGATTCAATTGCCCATCTTAAGAATAGAATAGAATAGAATAGAATAGAATAGAATAGAATAGAATAGAATAGAATAGAATAGAATATATGGAATGAATAGAATAGAATAGAATAGAATAGAATAGAAAATATGGAATGAATAGAATAGAATAGAATAGAATAGAATAGAAAATATGGAATGAATAGAATAGAATAGAATAGAATAGAATAGAATAGAATAGAATAGAATAGAATAGAAAATATGGAATGAATAGAATAGAATAGAATAGAATAGAATAGAAAATATGGAATGAATAGAATAGAATAGAATAGAAAATATGGAATGAATAGAATAGAATAGAATCTTTATTGTCATTTTAAATGTACACTAATCAGCATACATTACAATGAAATTTCGTTGCATTCAGCTCTCAAAAAAAAACCAACCATTTTGCATGTACCCACATACACACACATGTATGACACAGAGAAACATCACAGTCTAGTTCAAATGTATACATACACATGGCGGGTAAAACAAGATTCCTACGAATTTACAAGATGGATGGCATAAAGAACAAAGCCGTTACAGCATCTAGCAGTTCTGCCATAAATAAATGCCACACATGTAGGTAGGATCAAATGAACAAGGAAAACAGTGGGAAAATTGCGAACCCCAAATTTCATCCGTGTTTTCCAAGCAGCAGCCAATCAGGTATTCCAGGAAACATCCGAATAGGATACGAAAGAGAATCCTTGTCCTTTTCTTTGATGCTGGTCGAACTTATTTTGTGGTATACTGCTCCCAGACTAGGAAGCTCTACCAGATGGTCATTCTTGTCCCTGGTAGAAGTGTCAGCTTTTTATAGAATACCTATAGAGATACCTTGACTTACAGCAGGTCATTTAGTGACCGTTCAAACTTACAATGGCACTGAAAAAAGTGACTTATGACCATTTTTCATACTTGCAGCATCCCCGCAGTCACATGATCAAAATTCACCCGCTTGGCAACTGACTCATATTTATGACGGTCGCAGTGTCCCTGGATCATACGATACCCTTTTGCGACCTTCAGAGGGAGCCAGAGTCACTTAACAACTGTGTTACTGATTTAATAACTGCAGCGATTCATTTAACAACTGTGGCAAAGAAAGGTCGTAAAATGGGACAAAATTCACTTTAATAGTTCTATTGTTTAGCAATGGAATTTTGGGCCCAACTGTGGTGGTAAATCAAGGACCACCTGTATATGACTTTTTTTTTTTTCAGCAGTCATTAAGCAAATCACTGCGGTTATTTAATTGAATCCACAGTTGCTTAACAATTCACCAACCACCATGGGGATTTGCTTAATGGCAGTCGTAAGTCCAGGACTGCCTTCATAAACTGCTTCGTCTCCTCTGCGGGAACCCCACCCCACCCCTGCAAATGTTTGAAGCTTTCTTTTTGGCTCGCTCACCGCCCCAAAATGTGGGTTTTTTTCTATCCTGCAAGTAGGATAGCTCCTTTTAATAGACTGCCTGCTATAATTTATTTGCATTTTATTTTATATGGCCTTTTTAGAGAGTGCTCATCTCCCTTCATAGAGCAACTCTGGGTGGTTGCTTACTGCTGTTAGCTGGTTAGAGAATAGTTTTTAAGACAGCCATTTGTCTGAAATGGTATAGGGTTTCCTGCCTGAGCAGGGGGTTGGACTAGATGACCTCCAAGGTCCTTTCCAACTTTAGTAGTAGTAGTAGCAGCAGCAGCAGCAGTAGTAGAGAAAGGGAAGGTATTCGGGAGGGGGAGAATGGCACCCAATCTATTTCATTTGTTCCTTAAAAATTGAGCAGATGGGAGCAAAGCATTTGGCAGATCGACTCCATAGCAGCCTCGCCTTTAATCTTTTTTTCGCAAATGAGGCAAACATATCCAACACAACTTCCTCTTCCTGTTTACCTTTTTTTTTTTTTTTTTAAGAAATTTTATTTATTTTTTTCAATCATAAAAAACAATCATAAGTAAACACAATGGCAATAACCCCCCACCCCCACCCCGGACTCCCCAAACCTAATCCCAGAATAATATTCATATGAAAGTAAACAAATACTAATATCTCTAACTCTACAAAATATCTTAATCTACAAGAAAAGATAGTAGAAATAAACCAACTTACAAAATTCTAAAAACCTAACTTATATTCTACCACTTTATGTTTCTTTTGAATATAAACAATCCATCTTCCCCATATTGATAAAAATTGTTCATTCGAATGGTTCTTCAAATAAGCCGAAATCTTTGCCATTTCAGCAAGATACGAAACTTTCAATCTCCAATCTCCCATCGTTGGCAGAATTGGGCTCTTCCAGTTTTGGGCTATTAACAATCTAGCAGCAGATAAACAATAAAGCATCAGATTTGTTTCTTTTACATCTAAGTTCTGCACAATACCTAAAAGAAAAAACTGTGGGAGAAAAATAATTCTTTTTTTGAAAATCTGCTGTAGGTTCCACCATAATTGTATCCAAAAAGCCTTAATAATCTTACAAGTCCACCACATATGAAAAAAAGTTGCATCTGGATGACCACATCTCCAACACTTGGATTCATAATTCGAATAAATGCGAGACATAGTTGAAGGATCCAAGTGCCATCTATAAAACATCTTATAAAAATTTTCACGTAAATTTTGAGCTTGTGTGAACTTCACATTTCTCACCCAGATCAACTCCCAAGTGTCCATAGGTATTGTTTCTCCTATATTTTGAGCCCACTTAATCATACAATCTTTAACTAATTCAGTTTCTGAGTCCAATTCTAATAAAACATTATAAATCCTCTTAATATGACCTTTAACACCATCTCTTACTTGCTTCAAAAAAATCCCATCTTCAGAAGCAAAAGAAGTCTTTTTATCAACTCGCCTTCCTGTTTACCTTTACTACATCAACAACAACCCTGTGAGGTGATGAGGCAGGACTAGAACTCATCTGCTGGTGATTGGCCCAAAGTCACCCAGCCAATTTTCATGTCTAAGTTGGGACTAGAACTCTCAGTTTCCTGGCCATTGGCCCAAAGTCACCCAATTGGCTTTTAGGCCTAAGGCAGGACTAGAATTTACAGTGTCCTGATGATTGGACCAAAGTCACCCAGCCAGCTTTCAGGCCTAAGGCAGGATTAGAACTCTCCATCTCCTGATGATTGGCCCAAAGTTCACCTCCCTGGCTTTCACGCCCTAAGGCGGGACTAGAACACCCCGCCTCCTGGTGTTTGACTCTTACAAGTCACCCAGCCGCTTTTCATAGCTAAGGCGAGACTTGAACTCGCGGTCTCCCACTTTGTAGCCTGGTGCCTTAGCCAGTGAACCAAACTTACCCTATATTTGGGGGGAGGGGAAAGGTCGGGATTTGACTCCGTCTTCTCTTCGAAAAGTATCGCCTGTCCTCTGCTTGCGATGGTCCCCGTAAAACCTCCCCTATCAGTCAAGATATTTAAAAATGAAATGAAGCAGGCGGAACCATTCCTTCTGAGCGACATTGCTCATTCTGCATGAATTCACTCTTGCGATTTGACCGCTCTGCAGCCCGTGATTTTCCAAAGGGAGAATTGGAAGCACACGTATTAATTAAAAAAAAATTCTAGAGTGCGCAGAAATGGATAGACTGACTTTAGAGCAGGCATGTCAAACACAAGGCCCGGGGGCCGGATGCGGCCCGCGACGTGGTTTCATGGGGCCCGCGAAGCCATCCTGGAAACAGTGATGGAACGGCCCCCGCTGCCTTGGCCCTGGCCCAGGCCGGCCGGGAGCCAATGTACAATTTTGTGGTGGCCATCTATGCTGAAACGCATTCAGTCTTAGCTCCACAAGGCCGTCTGGAAACAGCGAGGAACCAGGAGAACCTTGAGCAGCAGCCTTGAGGAAGTGGGGCTGGGCTTGGTGCTGCGGGTGCTCAAGGGCCACGCTGGGCATTTTACCTCTGCTGCCCAGGGCTCCGGGCAGCCCGCACCACCATCCAGCCCCCCCCCCCGGCATGGCCTGAGAGGAACAGTGAGGCTCCTCCAGTGGACCATGCCTTGGCGCTTGCCCCGGTCCCACCTCCTTCTGCCAGAGACCCTCAGATCCGTCCCACTCCTGCCCAGGCCCCCACAGGCAGCCTTGACGCGAACGATGTAGAGCTGACCACGCCCACCCAGCAGGCCACACCCACTCCATCCATGCCCACCCAGTAGGCCGCACCCACCCTGGCCGCACACACCCGGCCCCCTGAGGGCAACTGCAATGCTGATGCAGCCCTCAATGAAATTGAGTTTGACACCCCTGCTTTAGAGATTAAAGAAAAAGAAAATTCAGTGTATTTTAGAACATGGGATAATTTTTGGCTAGAAAAACGGTTCAGAGAGGAAGGAATGTGACATGTAATTTTGAATACATACCAGCAAGAAGGATGACATGGAGTGATTAACTAATATTGCCTAAGATAATTAACCATATTTATTATTATCACTTATTACTATATCTATTATTGTTGTTTAAATCTCTGTACCCAGACAGTATGCTGTTTGCTAAATATTGAAAATGTTACCTGGGGAAGCCCCAACCTTGACCCCAACCCTAACCTAGACCCCAATCCCAACCCTGACCCTATTCTACCCGTAACCCCATAAAAACTAATAAAACTTTTTTTAAAAAAAAGATATTTAAAAATGAAATCAAGCAGGCAGAACCATTCCTTCTGAGCAACATTACCCCATGCCCACTCATTACTCATTCTGCATGAATTCACTCTTGTGATTTGACCGACACTGGGGGAAAGTTCCACCTCCTTACCTGCTCTGCAGCCTGTGATTTTCCAAAAGGAGCATTGGAAGCACACGTCACCTGAGTGGCCAGGAGAATCCAGCCGAGAACGGACAGCGGGCAACTGTCCAGACAGCTTACACCCGGCCAAAGAGAGCTGGATGACTGCTAAGCTGAAGGGGCGGCCATCCCAAGGGGGTTGGCATCAGCTCAGGTCTTTAAGAATGCCAGAGGGTCAGTGGGGAGAAAATAGTCACGGCAAATGCTTCCCTTGGCTATTTCGGGACAAAACTTTGAAGAATGTCCGGGCCAAACCAAGCAGAATAACCGAGTAGGAAGGGACTTTGGAGATCTTCTAGTCCAACCTTGGTAAGGCTACACAATACTGCATCCAGTTTTGGTCACCACGATGTAAAAAAGATGTTGAGACTCTAGAAAGAGTACAGAGAAGAGCAACAAAGATGATTAGGGGACTGAAGGCTAAAACATGTAAGGAACGGTTGCTGGAATTGGGTATGTCTAGTTTAATGAAGAGAAGGACGAGGGGGGACAGGATAGCCGTGTTCCAATATCTCAGGGGCTGCCCCAAAGAAGAGGGAGTCAAGCTATTTTCCAAAGCCCCTGAAGGCAGGAGAAGAAGCAACGGATGGAAACTAACCAAGGAGAGAAGCAACCTAGAACTAAGGAGAAACTTCCTGACGGTTAGAACAATTAACCAGTGGAACAACCTGCCTCCAGAAGCGGTGAATGCTCCAACACTGGAAGTTTTTAAGAAGAGACTGGACAGCCATTTGTCTGAAATGGTATAGGGTTTCCTGCCTGGGCAGGGGGTTGGACTAGAAGACCTCCAAGGTCCCTTCCAACTTTATTATTATTATTATTATTATTATTATTATTATTATTATTATTATTATTATTATTATTATTATTATTATTATTATTATTATTATACCTCCTGCTCAAGCGTATCATTCTGAACCAATGGCTGTCCAAATATCTTCTTCAAAATGCCTACAATTTCTGGAGGCAAGTCGTTCCACTGATTAATTGTTCTCACAGTTGGGAAATTTCTCCTTAGTTCTAGGTTGCTTCTCTCCTTGATTAGTTTCCATCCGTTGCTTCTTGTCCTGCCTTCAGGTGCTTTGGAGAATGGCTTGACCCCCCTCTTCTTTGTGGCAGCCCCTCAAATACTGGAACACTGCCTTGTCCTTCATGTCACCCCCTTGTCCTTCTTTTCACTAGACTAGACATACACAATTCCTGTAACCTGTTTTCCAAAGCACCAGAAGGCAAAACAAGAAACAAGGGATGGAAACTAATTCAGGAGAGAAGAAACCTGGAATTGAGGAGAAACTTCCTAACAGTAAGAACAACTAATGAATGGAACGATTTGCCTCCGGAAGTCATGGGTGGTTCATTAATGGAGGTTTTAAGAAGAGACTGGACAGCCAGTTGTCTGAAATGGTATAGGATCTCCTGCTTGAGCAGGGGGTTGGACTAGAAGACCTCCAAGGTCCCTTCCAGCTCTATTTCTGATGCAACACATCCCACTTCTTAATCCTGACAAGCTTTCTGTTCTCGTCCCCACGGTCGTTTTTGCTTGCAGAAAAACGCCTGTTTCCTACCAGAAGATCTGAAAAATTTTTACCTCATGACGGACGGTTTCCAAATGACCTGGAGCGTCAAGTTTGATGGTAAGGCTATCCGGCCCCTTCTTGATCCCTGGTTATTCACCTATCCTAGATCAGGGGTGGGCAACCTCGGCTCTTTTATGACTCGTGGACTTCAACTCCCAGAATCCCTGAGCACGGCTCAGTTTGGAAACTCTCCCTTTCCCCTCAGCATGGCTGGCTCAGGAATTCTGGGAGTTGAAGTCCACGAGTCATAAAAGAGCCAAGGTTGCCTACCCCTGTCCTAAGTCCTCCTGTTCTAAGTGGTTAGCCTCCTAGGCCAGGGGTAGGCAACCTTGGCTCTTTTATGACTCGTGGACTTCAACTCCCAGAATTCCTGAGTCAACATGGCTCAGCTTGGAAACCTCTCCCTTTCCCCTCAGCATGGCTGGCTCAGGAATTCTGGGAGTTGAAGTCCACGAGTCATAAAAGCGCCGAGGTTGCCTACTCCTGTCTTAGATGGATCGCTGGAGGTTTTCAAGAAAAGATTGAACGGTCCATTGTCCAGGATGGAAGAACAACTCCTGCTTGGGCAGTGGGTTGGACTAGAAGACCTCCAAAGGTCCCTATCAGCCCTTTGATTTGGGGTTTCTAATTCAAGGAAGGATGTTTCTGACTCCAGAGTGGGCAGGATTATAGCTACTCCTTGAATTACGACTGTAATGGAGT